AATAAGCTGAACGCCACCTGAACTGGGGGGGGGGGGATAAATGGGAGGAAAGGAGCGAGAGTCGGAGCTCAGAGAGATCAGATGTATATGTTTGAGTTTAAAGAACAGGGGGGTTAAAAGGTGACTGTCGAAACACGGAGGGAAACTTTTAAAGGCGAGTTCATTCGAATCTTAATAAATAAAACCCTGACATGTTTTCTCATTTGCCTCCAGTTCTGTGTTTTAGCCGTGCAGATAATTTTAATTGAAGTTTTGGGATCATCGGCAGCAGCATCTGCTCCAGGAACTGTGTCCTCGGTCGCTTTAGAATAATCATAGATCAGCGTTCTATGTGAGAGAGCGTATCTCTACTGTACCAAGATTGTTTAAGCTCCTTCAATATGGAAGCTTATTACCGGCCAATGAGTTAAATTTGTAAATAAAGTTTTGTTATAATGACGAAACTTTCTCATAATAATGGAACTTAATATCCCAAATAATGACTTATTATCTTATAATAATGATTTATCTTAAAATAGTGACTTTGTATTTCAAAATATTGACATATCTTATAATAATGACTTATTATCTTATAATAATGACATCAAATCTCGAAATAATGACATAGTATCTTAAAATAATGACTTAATATCTTACAATAATGACTTATCTTAAAATAGTGACTCGGTATTTCAAAATATTGACTTAATAGCTCAAAATAATGATATATCTTATAATAATAAGAAACCTCAATATTTCCATTACGTAAAAGGGGGCCTTCATCATTTTTGGCCACAAATGTAATTCCAGTTATCTTCATTTCAAAACCAAAACTATCTGCATGTCTTGCAGCACTGAAGGTAAATGAGGAAACATATTTAATGTAATTTAGTTTAAATGAGCCTTTAAAGCTGCAGTAGTAAAACTTTCACTATATCCTGACAGTAGAACATGAGACAGATAATCTGTAAAAAATCAGGTTCCTCCGGCTCCTCCTAGTGCCTGAATGGCATTTGAAAGAATCCACCGGGCTCGAATGAAAACAACCAATCAGAACTGAGAAAGATATAAAAAAATGCTTTGGGTTGAAGGCTTGAAGATAGTTGATTGTTGAGTCCCAAAGTGTCTGTATTTGATGCTTTGGGACACAACTTCCTTTGCTTTGATTGGTTGTTCTCATTCGGGGCCCGGTGGATTCTTGCAAATGCCATTCGGGGCACTAAAACGAGAAGGAACCTGATTTTCCCCCCGATTATCCGTCTCATGTTCTACTGTCAGGATATAGTGAAAGTTTTAGCGAATAAGACAACAAATATGCTTATAAAGATAACCTGCTGCAGCTTTAAATGCAGAGATTATTCCTGCTAGCGTGGCTTCGTACAGCCGTGCAGCAGTCGCCTGAGAGGATAGCGGCAGCGTAGATCAATAATACGTGTTGTGAGTGTGTGAGTGTGCATGATGTGAGATATTTGTGTATAAATGTTGCTGCTGCTAAAACTAGCGCTGACTTTTGTCTTTTTCTTCCTCCCCCCCCCCCTCAACCGCCGGCTACAGGACAAGTCGTCCCAGGCCCTCAGTCTGAGCAACGTGGCGGGGGTCTTCTACATCCTCGTCGGGGGCCTGGGCCTGGCCATGCTGGTGGCACTCATTGAATTCTGCTACAAGTCACGCAACGAGGCCAAGAGAATGAAGGTGGAGGCCCAATCCCAGTCCCCCCATTACCACCACCCTCCCCGCCACCACTGCTACCCCTGCCAGACAGGCAGCCCCCGCCATAGCCCCGAGCCTAGCCAGAACCAAAGCCCGAGGCCCAGCCAAAGCATCCCCAACTTAGCCGAGTTTAGCGAGGGTTTCACTGGGTATGGCAGCGATGGGGAAGCTGATAAGATGTAGTTGGGGGTTTTCGTAGAAGCCTTTGCTAACAACCCCTCGCTATCTCCCCGCACAGACTGTAAGTGACACCTTCTCCCCCCCCACCCCCGTGCTAGCTTTGCCCATGCTGAGTGACTGTCGTGACCAGTGGCAAAATGCTTCCCACTTCTCTGTCTGCTCAGTATGTGGTCATGTGACGTCCTGGTCTGCGTTTTGAGCTTTTTTTTTTATTGTTTTATAATTCTCAGTGTGACCGGAAGTGATGAGTCATCCTCAGACATGACGTCGCCTCTTAACTGCTTCGCAGCTTGTGTGGCTGCAGACGTTGGCCCTCATTTATCAAGCGAGCTAACCGTGTGACCCGTTTTCCTGCCAAAATCTGAAATGTATCACCCGCACTCTGAACCTCGGCGAGGAGATAATGTTCACCGTCCAGGGTTCGGAGGAATTCTGGAATGTCGAAGAAACGCGCCATGAAACTTTTTGAAGATTAAATGTGAGAAAAGTGCAAAATTTAGTGAGATTAGGTCGTTTAAAGTCAAAACGCTGCTAATTTAACATAGAAAACTAATTAATTGCTGTTTTCTAGAGTATGTAAGCTAAAATATTCCAAAATATGATCTTTATTTTCCAATTTACACACTGTATCTCCCAGAATAAATTGCCCATTTTAGGGTTTAACATTTGTATTACTTTTAAATAGTTCATGTGCCAACTTTAAACAATTTATTAGCTACTTTCTTTCATATTTTGTATTAAAAAAGTAAAAAAAAAATCTGAATGCCTTATATGTAACTATACCAGCGGTTCCTTAAGGGACCCTTTTGTGATATTATATTTTTAACATATGTATGTTGTATAACAGTAAAAGTAGAGAACAACTGATAAACTGGACAGTGAACACAATAACTGCAGGAAGTTTGTGTAAACAAGCGATTTTAAGCAGATTATGTCCTGCTAGTATTGATCAGAGATGAGTTTTCCTGATATTTTTTTAGGAACTTTTAATACAATTCTCTGTATTTTTAACAACCATTCATACTTAAACAGCTTCTTTTTTTCACAAATGCATTGTTCTGTTTGCTCTTCAGTTGTTTTCTAATGCAGAACGTGGCTGTTTATCAAAAAATATAACAATTTAATTTCGTTTGTATTCTCCAGCAGACAGACATTTAATGCCTGACTTTCAGAGTTTTTTTTTTTCAACAAAAAATTCAACTTTTACCCCCAAGACCAGTAGTTTTATTCAGGTTGTGACATTTTGGGATTTTGACATAATGAGGATTTTTCTTTTTAAATATTACAGCCTGTAAAAATATCTGAAACCATTTACGGGTTAACAGGTAGGAAAAGCGAGTTAAATGAGGACCAATGTCTTTGTACTTGTACACACGTCTAACCCTTGTGAGGACATTTCATCCAGTACATTTCGTCCATGTAGTCTCTGAGTCTCTGAACCTCTGAAGCACCAACCGCCTTTGTTTTCCCATCGCGAAACCATCAAACGTTCACGCTCACATACAAAAACCTGAACAGTACATGCTGTAGCTCAGGGATATCTCACATCTGTCAGTTACAATAAACGTACAAAACAAACGTTTAATGAGAAAACCAGCCTCAAGCACGCACACACACACACACACATACGGAGGAAGCACCTATATAATAAAGCCATATTTAAACGACGTACATGTGTGAGGGTGAACGTAAGTGAAGTGTCCCTCGAGCTGAGCTGATTTTATTGATGTGAGCTGTTTTTTTTTCTGCGGATATTTCCCCCTAGGCCCGCTTGACCATTAGACTTTCAGATATCTGTTCACGCTCGGTGCATATCTGTCCAACGTGGTTATGTGTCCCCCATCAGCACTTCAGCGCAAACTCTTCATTAGCTTGACTGTTGCTTAGTCAGCTTCCCTGTCCCCCACTGCCTGCAACTATCACTCACTGTGTAATAATTCTGTCGTTAATGGATTTACATGTAGTCTGGAGCTGGCTTGAGACTGTACTGAATGGCTATGAAAGGTGTTTTCTGCTACACTACTGTGTATATATATATATATATATATATTTAACTGTACATCTGTACTGCATTGTTCTACCTGTTGTTTGTAATGTTGAAGCACATTGGAGTTTTAGTTCTTACTCAACCCACTGGTCGCAGTGGCTATTGGACGTGTTAAACTGGGCAGACACTGTGTTTTTATTCATCTTGTAATGTTGTGTTAAATATATACTGTGTAATTTCTGCCTCTCACATCAAAACAATAACAAAAGACGAAGTTTGATGACGTCGAGATGTTGTTCCCGGTTAGGATTCCTTCAGTGTTCATGGTTCAGGAGGTTTCTACCGGGAGCCGAGGAGTTAGGGTTAGGGTTGTCAATTTTTATCATCCATTCCTGTTTCACTTTATGCGTGTTTACAAGGTCATTATTAGACGGTAGATCAGCTCAGTTTATGTGAATTATTAAGGTTAAAAGACCCACTGCTCCACATCGTCAAACCAAACTCCATTTAAAAAACGGCTGTTTTAAGGTAGAATCATCACTGAGACTCTTTACTGATTCTCTTCAATCTACTGACACTCAGTAACTTCATTAACTAACCTGTGATGAAGTGTTTGACAATTCGGTTCAACATTTTTATCCTCTGTGGATCACCTAAAGCTATAGATCTTTTCTTTTACTCTCATTCGCACTTTGGGGAAGTAAAGAATGTCAGGTCAGGTCTTTTTTATTGTTTGATGTGCGAAATGCGACGCAGAAGACTTTTAGGCACAGTACCACTCAGCACTTATTTCACACAAAATGGTCGTTCTGAAGACGAGAAAGTGACGCATGCTCTCATGTATTTCTTTGATGAGTACAGTGTAATCATAGCAGGTAAAAGTTGCTTAAATGGGAGCTGTTGTGGTCTAGTTTTGAGATGTTTGTTGTTTAATATCCTAACCATCTCTGAACTAAAACTCCAATCTGCAACTGTTCTAACTTCCACCTGCTCCGCACACAAACCCTGTTTCTTTATCTTCCTTCCCCAGCTAACATTTACAGAAGCCATGAGGAACAAGGCGCGTCTGTCCATCACAGGCAGCGTCGGGGAGAACGGACGGGTGCTGACACCCGACTGTCCCAAGGCCGTCCACACCGGGCCTCCCCTCCGCCAGAGCTCCGGCCTCGCCCTGGTCTCCTCTGAGCTCCCGTGAAAACCAAAAACCTCTCAAGTGCCTTATTGCCAATAACAAGAGAACAAAAAACAACAAAAACAATAATCACACATACACACCGCCCACGAAACAAAACCTAGAAACTAATCACAAAGAAACAGGATTCGCACACCCAACAGGTCACCTCCAGTGGGGGGTGAGACGGGACCGACGGAGGACGCAAACAACAACAAACCCCCCCCAACCACCCCTTCTCCCTGCCCCTTCTCCTCGCCAACTGTTAGAGGTCATGACTTCCTGTTGTGGCTCGATGACTTCTTCATCTCAGAAACACGTGGGAAAAAAACAATCTCGATTTGTGTGGCCACGTGGGAGTTCGAATCAAAAAGGGTAAACTGGGGGAATCTCGCCGGGAGCCACCTTTTTACCGCTGCGGCGTCGGAAGAGGAACCTGGAAATGGCGAGGATGGAATAATATCATAATATATGATAATAAAAAAAAAGACGAAGACCAGAAAACTGTAAACTTGAAACTGAACTGTGCATTTTTTTTGTTTTTTTTGTTGTTGTTGTTGTTGTTGTTGGGGATTTGCTGTGAATTTGGCAAAAAGAAAAACTGAACCACAATCAAGATTGTTTTAAAAAAAACAAAACTGTGTTTTTTTGCCGGTGGCGTTCGAGAGAGACGACGATCTCACTAGATATCAACGAGCGACGCTGGGAGAGTTGTAGCTCGGCGCTATTGTGGAGACGACGACGAATAATATTTGTATTCATAATAACAATGAGGATTATAAAAATAAATAAAATCTATTGATATTGAATATATGAGCAAAACATAGGAAACTGTGAAAATAAGTAAATATGTATATTCAGTGAAAAACAAAATGAAGAATTTTAGCTGTACATAAAAAAAGGGACAACTGTGTAAAACATGCTTGCTTTTTAAAACAGATGTACATACTGTAGTGGACTTTTTTTTGTTTTTGTTTTTGTAAATCATTATAAAGATTTTAATTCATCGCAATAATGACAAAAAAAAAAGATGGAAGAGATTTGTGTTGAATAAAAACTGTATTATATAGGAACATTTCAGAATAAAAAAAACTCTTAATGTGAAGGGGTATCGACTGCCCGAAATACTCTGATACCTGTGACATACAAATTCATTAATATACTCAACGATGAATGTTTTAAAGTAGCTCCACCCCCAATCCTTAAGAAACCACAACCCTCACTGTGCAGACGTTAGACCCAGACCAGTCGCTCCAAGTAGAGCTTTATAATAAAATAATAAATCAAGTTTCTGCAGTCAGAATAATAAACTATTTTTTTCATTCTTTGATTCTATTTTTTGTACTGAGAAATTTAAAAAAAAACAACAACAAAAAAACTGTTTGTCTCCTGGTTTTAAAACGTCGACAGTCAAAACTATCTGGGTAGACCCTTTTAGATATGTGTGTGTGTGTGTGTGTGTGTGTGGAGAGAGAGAGATCCCCCCCCCCCATAAAAAAACGAGGATGCGAAATTTGGGAAAAACAACAAAAAAACTATTAATAAATAAATAAATTCCTTCTCGCTATGTGTTATTTGAAGTGTTGATATGTTGGACAATGATTAGTGGCCCCCTTTATTCCCCCTTTAATTCAAACACTGTGGATCCTGCAGGGGGGAGGCTGTACACACTGTAGCAGACATGTATTCGCTCACTTGTTTTTGTTTGTTTGTGTGTTTGTTTGTTTGTTTTTTTGGGGACAAAAATGGGAGGGGACAACCTGCAATAGGATACAAGACGCCGCATCTTCATCAGCAACCGCCGCCCTCCTCATCTGGTTTTGGTTGGACGAAGAAACCAGCTGAAATATTTCAGGTCATGCCTTCTTTTTTTTTTTGTTGTCCTGCCATACCGTCCTTAGAGCTGAAGTGTAATAATGGCGTCTTATTTTATCTTTATTTTGATCTTTTTTAAGTAAAAACAAATTTCAAATTGCAAATCTTCACTGTGTCGTTATTTTGATGTTAACAAAAAAAAATGTGTCAATAGTGGCAGATTGTCATAAAGCTTTATTTTATTTATGAATTCTGGTGGAAAAAAAACAATTAACTTCCACTGATTTGCTATTTACAGTTGACCCTTTAAGCCCCGCCCCTTTTTGGTATGTCCCCTAATACCAGTTGAGTAAGCATCAGTCAACTTTACTTAGATATAAAGATAACCACATTTTGAAGATGGTTAAAAGATAAAAGTGAAATATATTTGCATCTTTATTTAGTTAATTTTAGCAAAATGCTAGCTTACTAGCTAGACATCAATAATTTGCTTCTGTTATGCTAACATTTGCTACCAGATGTAACCTGCCAGCTAATAGTTAGTGTAATTATTAGCTAGTTAATCTTGCTAGTGTTTTTCTCTGTAGCAAAAAACTAGCCGATTAACCACCTAATTATTTGATAGCCTATGTTAGCAAAACAGAAGCCAATAAGTTACCATTACAAGTTTTGAATTTGGTTAAAAGATAGCTAGCTAATGTGACCTAAAGTTAACTTCTGTTTTGCTAACATTAATGTTAACTAGTAACTAGTAAACTAGTAGTAACTAGTTCACTAGTTATCTAATCACCTAACTGATATTTATGGTCTTCAAAAGATGAATGCTGATGTAAAAGTAAGTAACTTCCTCTTGGTGCCCAAGACCTCCCTTCCTAAGCCCCGCCCCTTTTTGGTATGTCCTCTAATAACAGGTCAGCAAGCATCGGTCAACTTTACTTAGATATGCTATGTGCTAGGCTAATCTATGTTGAAAAGAAAACCAAATTTTTAAGATGATATAAAGGGACATATATAGCTAATGCTAGCTGGCTAGCTAGGTGGTTAGTTAGCTAGTTTTTTGCTACAGAGAAAAACACTAGCTAAGATTAGCTAGCTAGTAATTACATTAATTGTTAGCTGGCTAGTTACATCTGGTAGCTAATGTTAACAAAACAGAAGCTAATTAGTTAACATTACAAATTTTGAAGATGGTTAAAAGTTGACCCTTCCTAAGCCCCGCCCCTTTTTGGTGTGTATATATATCACTTTTATCTTTTAGCTATTAGCTAACTTTTATTATTAGCTATTAGCTTTCATCTATTAGCTAACCAAAGATTTGAAGATGGTTAAAAGATAAAAGCGACATGTAAATATATAGTCACATCTTAAGTTAGCTAATGTTAAGTATTTAGCTACTGTTTTTATCTTTTACCCATCTTAAAAGTCTGGTTGTCTTTTCAACATAGACAAGGCTAGCACATAGCATACGTAAAGGAGCAGGAAGACAGTATCACTTCTAACAGGTGTTTACCCTATTATTTCATGTCAAAATGTCTGCTGTGAAAAAGGTGAATTGTAACTGGAAATAATCAACAGATATAACATGTTAATTTGTGAGATTTAAAGCTGCTTGTTGGAGGATTTTCTTTACTTTCAGACAGAGCCAGGCTAGCTGCTTCACCCTGCTTCCAGTAATGCTAAGCTAAGCTAACCGACTGCTGGTTGCGGACATTGAAGTGGTATCGATCTTCTCGTCTGGTGACCAAAAACCCTCCTGAATTTATTGTATTTCCTGAAAATATTAAGGTGTTCCTTTAAAGCGGGCGTTACTTTGTCATCTGACCTTGAAGATCTTTAATGTTTAACCTAAAATCACTGCGTGAGGTAACAGTTAGCTGAACACAGGTGGTAATTACAAGATTTATTACATTGTTGAATTTCACTTCATTTCCCAAGATGCTCTTCATTCTCATCATCATTAGGCGACCGGACTGAAAGTGAATGGAACAGGTATGACGTGTTTACTTCTTTTATTTTACTGCTCAAATAATTCAAATGTCGCCGGTATACTACAATTAGTTTTGCTTACGTTGATCACACCAGACAAAGTAAGTTATTTGATCATTTTATTGATAATGAAATCCAACTTTTCATTTGTTTTTTCCTTAAAAACTCACATAATCTCAAACTTTAAAGAGCAGTTTTGTTTATTTTAACACAATTTACACTAATTATGGACACAAAGAGGGAATTTTATACCAAAAAAAGGACAATAACTTTATTACTTTTAAGATAGCTACCAAATTATTCTGTGTTTTATGTGTTTTTTGTGTTCTTTTTTTACCTTCCTGTTTTAACCTCTTATTTAAGCCCTTCTATGGACGGTTGTTGCTATAAAAATGTTGATACCTGCATTAGATAGCCGTTTCAAACCTATATTTACTCTATCTGTTCCTGTCAAATAAACCAAAAATAATAAGAATCTTGAATATCAGAATCATGTTAGAAAGGAATCTCTGTTCAGCCATTTTGGTATCAAATCTAACACATTAAAAGCACTTTACTAAAAATCAATACAATACAAAATAGATTGTTTTTTAGTTAAAATATCTTCATTTGGGTTTTTTTTTTCAGGCAAAATATTAATAAATATGATTGTTTTTGATTAAATGAGAATATATTTCTGCCACCCAATGAATATTTCTGTAGATACGCCCCTGAGGACAGACAGGAGGAATGATTACAGCCACCAAAAACAGTTCATTAATCAATCAGTTATTTTGATAATATATTTGTTTGAGTCATTTTTAAAGAAAAAGTGTCAAAATTCTCAGATTTTAGATTCTTAAATGTGAATAATAGTTTCTTTCATCTTCTTTTATAGTAAACTGAATATGTTTTTGGTCATATTGGGCTAAAAACACTTTTCTGGACCAAACAACTAATCGATTAATCTAGAAAATGATCGACAGATTGATTCGGCTCTAATTTAATGTGCAAACACAGCGATGAAGAAAATATAATAATATAAATAAAGGAATTAAATATATAAACACGTAATCTGCTTTAACCTGGATGGATGTTAAACACCATGTGGTCTTTAATAATAACAAAAGCTCATGTTCCACCTTCACCTTCATCATTAAGGTTAAACCACAGGGGGGGGCAAATACTCAGTGCCCCGTGGAGTCAGTGTAAAGGTAACTTAATCTTAAGCATCACAGTATAAAAGTAACTTGATTACTTTCTGTGAACATTTTTAGCATCAGAAATGTTTTTTAAAGAAAAACTTGATTTTCATGAAGCAAAATTCAATTTTTAAAATTTTTTTTTTTTACAGCTGGAAGACTTTTTATGCTTTAAAAGACAAAATAATGGTGAGTTAAATCATTTTATTTCATTATGATAATAAACTGGCAGCTGTAAGATAAGAGATGGTTTTAATCCTGTAAATAACTCCCTTTTATTTAACTGTAAAACAGCATATTTTAATAAATTAAGTTAATATAACTTAATCATCCTCTGTTGGAGTAACTCAGTTGTTTTAATTACCTTAAATTCGTGCAGTATTTGAAGTATTTGGTGATTTAATTCCAGTTTGACTCATTAACTTTAAATAAATCAATCCAAATAATTCTTAATAAACCCCCAAAATGCAAATATTTGATGTTACTCACATAAAGTTGGTTACAATTACTGCTGTAATTATAATTTAAAGTTATTTTAATCTTAAATCGGCTGTTTTTACAGGTAAATTAAGTTCAACTCAACTTGAGTGGTAACATTTGTGTAAAGATTCATTCAGATTTAAATTAATTAAGTTTGGAGAAATGCCGTAGAAGCTGCTAAAATAGACTACACAAATATAAAAGTTCAAACCTCCATTAGATTTTAAAAAAATATAATCAATTGATTGGTTAATGAAGCAACAACTTTGTGCCTCGTGATTGTGTTTACTTGTAGCTCAAAGTCTTTTCCTAAAGAATTGATAAACATATACCTTTTAGTTCATATAAAAATACTGATTCTGATTAAATAAAGAAATAAAACAACTGAAAACTGCAGAGATTGCTTACAATACTTTGTACTTTTACTTGTAAGAGTATTTTTTTACATTGGGTATTAATACTTTTACTTAAAGGATCTGAGAAGTGGGGTTCCAGCTGGTTTAAGAAATCATTTATAAACACAATAAATGACGGCAGTCGCTCATAAACTGTTGTCAGTCATAGATCTGCATAGACCTTTTTCACAGCAGCCACTCTGACATGAAATGGTCAGGTAAACAAACATTAAGGCTTCATTCCATTTAGTGTAGCAGAACCTTTCCAGTGCTCCCCGACTGTTTGAGCTGAGTGGAACAGAACCTTAATATAATTTTTACACCTGTGTTTACCCGACTATTTCATGTCAAAAATAGCTGATGTGAAAAAGGTCTAATGAACTCTAACTTACATTAATTTGGCCACAGCTCAGGGTTAAATATGATTAAAATTTACCACAACAGATTATTTCCAGGATTTTTGGGTCATTTTAATCCATTTCTAGGCGTTTCCATAAATGGAAAACTAGTCTCTAATTTTCCAGGTTTTCCAGGATGTGTGGGAAACCCTGTTAAAAGAATAAATGCAGGAATGCACCTGCATTCAATCCCCCCTCCAGCTAGCTCCAACAGGAATCTTTCCTGTGCTGTGAGCCTACACTGCCCTCAAAATAGTGATGAAACCCATTAAAAACATCTCAAACCACAAAAGAAATTAAAAAAACACATTTAAAAGTTATCTCATTTGAGTTTAATGTTAATTCCATGCTGTGATTTCAGTAAGAATACAGAATGGTACTTGTGCTCCGGGTGGGAAAGAACATCCAGATAGTACAAATCGGATTCACGTTACACTGCAGAAGGAAGAGAGGAAAAAACGAGAGGAAAAGACGAGGAGACGAGTCGAGATGAGGGAAACCTGAAAGATCAGGGGAAGTAAAGATACAGCCAAGGCCTCCATATTTCCAAATGTTGCGTTTCTTTTTTTTTTTTTTTTTAAGTTTGTTTTCTTTTTTTATTAGTGCCCAATGCAAGAACGCATTACTTACAATCAAAGAGTGTTGGCATTCCCCCTCCCCCACACACCACACAACACCACAGAGTTCTTTGTCTGCTCAAAACAGCCAATTACCTACACTATCTTCCATTAGCAAACAACGCTACCAGCCTCCCGCAGCACACATATTGGTTCCGGCGAAGTGGGACAAGAAAATAGAGTTAAGAGTGGAATGCTCGGGGAACGGATGAGGGGGGGATGGAGGGAGGGAGGGGGGACAGTCTGCTGTTTGTTATTTAAAAAACAAAAAAACAACCTATTGATGTGTTGAAGGAGCAGGTTTGGTAACCACAAAGTAAAAGAGGGCACTTATAGTTTGTCCTAAAAGCTTTAACGCATCCCTTTTTAAACCTTCCATCACTGCTGTTGTTCTTCCAAAACCGACCCGACAGAAGCACGGACACGATATTGTTCAGAAACACACATACACACAGGAAAAAAACAACAAAAAAACCCAGCAAAGTATCTTTAAATAAACTCTTGCATATGTGTGTGTGTGTGTGTGTGTAAGTGTGTGTGTTACAAATACAGGCAAGCGTACTTGGCAACAGATGATACAGCAAAAAAAAATAAAAATAAAGACAGTAAAAGAGGACATGAACCTTTTTTTTTTTTAAAGGGTACAGGCTTGCAAAAATGAGTCATCAAAAAAAAAAAAAAAACATAAGGTAAAACCCCCGAGGGAGGGGGTGAGAGGGTGAGGGTGGGAGTGGGAACGGAGGCCCGAGTGGGGGCGCTGGGAGATGACGTGCATACGAGGGAGGGGGGGGGAGAAAAGGTGAGACAGATGGGTAAGAAATGGAGGAGAAGGTAGAGAAAGAGTGTGGGCTGCGGTATAAACCCAGTTGTGGCTGGGGACAGGAGCGAGTGCTGGGAGGAGAGAAAGAAGAGGAGGAAGAGGAGGAGGAGGAGGAGGAGGGCTTGTCTTGTGTTGTTCAGTCTCACTGGGTCTCTTCCTCCGCATCTTGCAGTGCTTCTTTGTTCTGTTCTTCACCTGAGATAACGACAGAAAACACGGGAGGAGCAATTATGGGATGTTGCTGTTGTTATCTCTGCACACTTTTTTTTTTTTTTTTTAAATGCTAAATGTGGTTTCTTGACCTCGCCGGGAAGTCGACGGGATCACGTCACGATTTTTGGCTTCCCAAGATTAAACGAACCCAATCGTCTGAGATATTGATGTTTAAAATGCTCGACTTGTAGTAAAACTCTGCTGTGGATCAATCAAGCGCTTCCTAAACAACCAGCAGGGATGAATGATAATAATCGATAATGGGAAATTTATATTATGAATTATCCGGATTATTCTACCAGTAATGTCCAGTATATATTTTCCTATCACCCAAAAATTGTAAACTTAACTGCTACATGTTTTATAGTTTTAGTGTTAAGTACAGAATTGGCAAAACTGAACTACTGACTGTTTATATAACGGACAGAGCTTACGGGTCTGTGCTGATCAGATAATGATCCAGATTCTGTTACTGCGTTGACTATTTTCTCTCCTAAAATCTGTTTCAGAAACTGAAATACGAGTTGAAACTGCACCGCCAATGTGAGCAGCTCAACTTGCTTTACGTGACCTCCGCTGGCTTCGACAAACTGTCATGTTGACGACCGTTACGCCAAACTAGGGCTGAATATTAAAGTTATTTTTAATCAGTCGTTCAGTTTCTCGATTAATCTGTGAATGAAATGTCAGTAAATGGTGAAAACTGTTTCCCAAAAGCCCAAACTGACGTCCTCAAATGTTTTGTTTAATCCTCAACATAAAAATATATTCAGTTTACTGTTATAGACTAAAGAAAGCAGAAAATATTCACATTTGAGAAGCTGAAATCGGAGAATTTGAACATTGTTTCATTAAAAAAACGACTTAAAATGATTAATCACTTATCACAACAGTGGAGATTAATTTAATAGCCGACAGCTCTAATTTCAAACATTAAGAAGATCAGATTCTCCTCCGTCTAACACAGGATATTCATTTTGTTCAACCACCACCACATGCAATAAGAGAAAGATCTGAGCTGTCATCTGATGATTTATGCTCATTATCTGGACTCAAACTGAAACTTTGTCGCGTTGTAGACCACTGAAAGACGAGCGTTCGACCATCAGGATCAGCTCAGAAATGCGTCCGTCAGTCCGTCATGCTCCAAAATAAACCCCCGACATTTAAAAAGCCTCCTGCAGAGACTGTGTCGACATGCAGTCTGGAGAGCAAGAGTTAATCCACAGCGCCTTGGTCAGATTTACCAAAGGGGGGGTAAAAATGCCTCGTGAACCTGTACGACTGGTTGCTTAGAAAGGTTACCATAGAGACGGCACAGCCATCCGTGTAATGAAGAATTAAGAGGCACAAATAACAAAAGGCTTTGAGAGTCCTTCATGATTAAAATAGAAACCGTAACAGTGCTCATTAGCACCGCAGCTAACGGGGATGTGAGAAAGCCACGGGAGACGGAGCAGCGGCCTCGCATGCTGTTACTGCAGTTTCTGTCCGTTATTTCACACTTCAATAAGCTGCGTTCACACGTTGTTTTTATTCCAAACCTGTGTTTCCAAACGCCCTCAGCGGGCTGTGTTCGGTGGCGCTAACGTGCACGGTTGGAGGGTGTCCGCAAGTGCTGTGATTAAAAGAGTCCTAGAGTTGAGTTCTTTATCCGTCACAGTGGAAAAAGATGACTCATGTTTCTGATCACATTCCCCAATTAAATGTGAATCATCGACTCACAGGTAGAGCGGAGGTGAAATCTGTTCCAGGAGCAGGGTTCCCTCGGTTTAATCAATCCTTTTACAGGTGTTTTCTTGACAACACGGGTTAGAGATTCATGAATTATCGACCAACAATGGGAAATCTGTGATTTTTTAAAAATCTGGATAATTAAATTATAGTATAGTGATCGTTTTTTTGTTCTATAAAGTTTAATAAAAAACATAAACACTTGAAGAGTCAGAGCTTGTTGTTTCTTACCGTCAGGTGTGTAAAAACTACAGGTTATGAACTTATTTTTAAAGATACAAAAAGTTATCTTATCAGTTTCCGCAGTGAGAAACAGGTGATTATCGGTTATTGTGTTGGCTGGGAACTAAATCCATATCGTGCATCCATCAATACAGGACAGCACTTTCTCATAAACTGCGACTTTAATGAACCTGTAGGCCAAGTGATGACACATTTAACCCATTTTTCCTCTAACTTTAACCCGACTTTGGTCACAGCCCAGTTCAAATTGAGAAGAATTTATTTTATTTGACATAAATTGCATCTATTAGCTCAACAGAAGACTTAGAAAGTGTTTTCAAACTAAAATACATCTGAGGAGGAACTGAGGGAAGGGATGAAATAACATTTTCAAGGATATTTGGACATTTTAACCAAATTCCAAGTGTTTCCATGAGCCGTGTTAACCCTGATGCTTGAGTCAGATCTCAGTGGAAAAAGATGACTCATGTTTCTGATCACATTCCCCAATTAAACGTGAATCATCGACTCACAGGTAGCTTTGTATTTTATAGAGAGAGCTGAAGTGAAACCTGAACTGTCGGTTTCTGTTCCAGGACTCTTAGAAAATCTTATTAAATAGATCACCAAGAACTACAACTGCACAGGATCAGAGCGTTTCTCTAAAGGATCGCATCACCTCAGTTTAAAAAGGAGACACAAACACTACCATAATAATTTAACACGTTTCATTTAATCCTCATTAACAGCACCTGCTGGATGCTAACGAATGAATCTTTGTTCAAACAGTCAGGTGTACACTGAATATGAGGTTTCAGCAGTGTGTGTGTGTGTGTGTGTGTGTGTGTGTGTGTGAGAAATCTGTTGGATATCTTCCAAAGAGTCTCTTTAGTACAAACTTTCTCTCTGGAAACTTCAGGGAAACACAAAAAGGGAATTTTGTACTAAAAAGACTAAAAACTTAAAGATACTTGCATTATTTTTCCTAAATTAACGACCTGACGTTTCATTTTAGCTACAGATAAACCAACATGGCGTCCATACACACCTGACTGTTGTTTTAGGACAGATTTGAAAATATTGTAAAGCAACCACCTGCTTATAGTTAGATAAAAGAAGACCTGAATGAGAGATGACACTGAGTCACACACAGGCTGGTGGAGCAGCGGCTCTCTATTAAACAGCATTTTATACCCCGCTCAGATGTAAACACAACCTCGCATTATTTAGACTTTTACCAGCTTGCGGACACCCTGAAGACACTAAAACACACACACACACAGCACTCGAGTTCCTCTCGTGCAGATAAAAAGGTGGATAACCGGTGAAAGTACTCCATATTCCTGCAGAGCCGTGTGCAAACAGGGCGCCAACCCCCAAAAACATTCAACGAGGCTCGACCTTGCAGTGTGAGGAAGGTTAGTGAGGGATTGTCGGGGGCGGGCGGTGAGACAGGAGTGACAGCTTGGAAGGTGGAAAAAGCCAAAAGACAGGAGAGGAATGACTTACAAAACACACTTCTACAATGGAGGAAGAGTGAAGGAAGAGGGCTGTCCTTAAGACTCTACAGAAGAGAGATGAGAGATGGTTAGAGCAGAGAGAGAGAGAGAGA